AGAAGTGCCAAGTGGAGTTTGGGATTCCCTGTCAGTCATACGGGAAACCATCATGAAGGGGAGGAGACAGACACTGCTTGTGGCATTCTGGAAGCGAAATGTTTCCAAGAACCACCACAAACCCTTTACCTTTTTGTAATTGGATGCCTAATGATGTCCTCTCCCAAAACTGTCGCCCCGCCCCACCCACCCACTTCATCCACTCAAGTGTATCATCGTGGACCGTTCACCTTTGGGAGCTTGGGTAACAGAAGCCATCCTAGAGACCACTGATGCGCAATTCCGTTTTGCCCTTTATTACACTGATGACCATTAACTGATTCTAAGCCTGAAGAATTTCTTCTTACATTCTCTGGACATGCTTTGTGTTTTCTCTTTTTACCTTGGATTCTTTTCGTTGGTTGAAATACTCTCTGTACGTAAACAATCCCTGGGAATGAGGCACTTTTTAGACATTCAGTGGCTCCTGTCACGTGACTATCCAGACACTCAGTGGCTGAGTTGATGAATGGAAGGGGTTTGTAACAAAATCCCTCATCATCCACTCGAAATAGAAGGTTCTCACCCACAGCACCTGGCGCATTTACATGTGGTATGTGCTGTCAGAACTCATAAAATGAATCATTGTGCTTCTGTAAATCTGTAGTAAACCTCACCTAAAACAAAAAACAAACAAACAAAACCTCATATAACACTGCTCATTAGGAGCTCTAAGCCAACTGCAAAGGTATCCGTAAATGTCCAAGGGAACTTCAAAAAGGGCTTGGAAAAAGAGAATGAACAGATAATGGATTTTTTTCCCATGAACTGTTTGAAGCCCCCTTGCACAGGATCAAACTGAGGCAAACAAATTAACACACAAAATCTCATTTCCAAGCCTTTAGAGCTGTCTTGATGTATTGTCAAGGGGCTATTCCCCAAACGAGTGGCCAGCATCCATGAAACAAGCTAGGAACAAACACAGGACTGTAGGCCGTATTGCCTAGAAATGCCTCAATCAATGCTGAGGTCATCGGCTCCAAGATCTGCAGGATAGCAAAAGAACACACCCCTGCACCCACCCAGGATTGTAGAGGACCAGCAAGGACCTACTCCTGGAAAAGGCAGCAGCTTAGTGTGGCCCCTACCTTCAGTAGTAACATAAGGGGAGCCTATGTGAGCAGTAACCACATGCTTGTAGAGATTTGTCAACCAAGAAAACTCACCAAGAGCTGTCATGCCATTTGCAGACGAAGACTCTCTGTGAGGTGTAGGTGTGTGTGATGGGCTCACAGGCAAAAGGAACCATAAGGAGGACAGAAGAGAGAAGGGTGACAGCTCCCAGATACCATGTGTCTACTTCCGTGGGAGAAAGATGAGGCTTTCTGCTCCTGAAAAGATTTACAGCCTCAGAAACCCTGTACAGGGTCGCTAATAAGTCAGAAGTGACTCCACAGCACATAACCATCACCACCACCACCACCACTGAGTACAAAAGTTTGAGTGCAGCTGAGGACTATGGAAGTGGTACCTACCATATGTGCGTCTTTTGTTCATAAAAAAAGGTGTGGGATCTAAGTATAGGAACACGCTTTCTCTAGAGGTGTGGTGTGAGGAATAAAATAGACAAGAGGGAATCTGTACAGATCTGGAAACAAACTCCTGGGAAGAAAGGGGGCACCAAAAATTGAAGACAAGAAAGAAGGAAAAGATCAAAATGGATGCCAGAGGAGACACTGAAACTTGCTCTCCAGTGTAGAGCTGCTAAAGCAAATGGAAGAAATGAGGAGGTCCAAGAGCTGAACAGAAAATTTCAAAGGTCAGCTCGAGAAGATAAAGACAAATATTACAAAATGTGCAAAGATCTGGAATCAGAAAACCAAACAGGAAGAACACACTCAGCATTTCTTAAGCTGGAACTGAAGAAAAAAAATCAAACCTTGATTTTCATTATTGAAAGATTCTCTGGGCAAATTATTGAATGATGCAGAAAGCATCAAGAGAAGATGGAAGGAATACACAGAGTCACTGTACCAAAAGGAAATGGTTAATGTTCAACCATTTCAAGAGGTAGCATATAACCAAGAGTCAATGATACTGAAGGAGGAAGTCCAAAGTGCATTGAAGGAATTGGCAAAGAGCAAGGCACCAGGAATTGATGGAATCAAAACTGAAATCTTTCAAGAAAGTGAGGCAGCACTGGAGACACTCACTCATCTCTGCCAAGAAATTTGGAATACAACTATCTGGCCGAATGATTGGAAAAGATCCATATTTATGCCCAGTCCAGGGAGAGGTGACCCAACAGAATGCGGAAATCATCAGAAAATGTCTTTGATATCCCATGCAAGTAAAGTTTTACGAAAGGTAATATGGAAATGGCTGCAAGCATACATTGACAGAGATTTCCAGAGGTTCAAGCCGGATTCAGAAGAGGGTGTGGAATGAGGGATATCATTGCTGATGTCCGATCGATCTTGGCTGAAAGCAGAGAATACCAGAAAGATGTTTACCTGTGCTTTATTGACTTCGCAAAAGCTTCCAATTGCATGGATCATGACAAGCTATGGACAACATTGTGAAGTGTGAGTATTCCGGAACACTTAATTGTGCCCATGAGGAATCTGTACCTGGACCAAGAGGCAGTTGTTCAAACAGAACATGGGAACACTGAATGGTTTAAAATTAAGAAAGGTGTGCGACAAGGTTGTAT